CCCTTCTGGCTCCTTGAATGTCATGAGCCACTGTAATGCAGAGTGATCAGTCCTTACCGTGAACGCCTGACCACACAGGTAGTATTTAAAGTGCCTGATGGACAGCACCACTGCCAAGAGTTCCCTGCGAGTGACGCAGTATTGTTGCTCTGCTTTGTTGAACACCCGGCTGAAGTATGCCACCACCCGCTCCCCCTCTGGTGTAATCTGGGAGAGCACACCGCCTACACCCACGCCGCTAGCATCTGTGTCCAGGGTGAACGGACTTGGCATTACGAACCGACTACGATATGGGCCCAGTAGATCTGTTTGAGCAGGAACTAGTGGATTATACCTTTTCTTTGTCTGACTGTGCTCATCGATGGATAGGAGCGGTCAGGGTTCAGCAGCGAGATGCTGCTCTGGCAGATGCAGTCCACCTTACGCTGAGGAATCAAGATTTGGTTAAATTCTTACCGGCCTGGCTTTTGGATTACCTCACGGTTTGTTTTCCCGATCCTGATAGACCCAGGTCTCCAGATTCCCTTTTTGATACCACACGCATCGGTGTGGTCCGTCTGGCGTCAGCCCCTGCTTCTCACCCAGTGTTTGCTACAGTCCAGGAGCCATTCGCTGGTACTCGTCTGGCTTTTGGAGGTCCACGGAGCCTCCAAATGGCTCCTAAGAGGAGTCGCAAGGCCAGGTTAGCAGCACGAGCCCAAAAGGCCATGGTTCCAGAACCAGTTCAGCCCCCAGCAGCCATGGTTACAGACCCAGTTCTGGCCCCAGCAGCCATGGTCCTTGCTCCAGAACCGGTCCCGGCAGCCATGAATTCGGCTCCAGAGCCGGCCCATACAGCCATGTTTCCGGCTCCAGAACCGGACCTTACAGCCATATTTCCGGCTCCAGAACCGGACCTTACAGCCATGTTTCCGGCTCCAGAACCGGACCTTACAGCCATGTTTCCGGCTCCAGAAACGGACCTTACAGCCATGATTCTGGCTTCAATTCCAGCCCCCGCAGCCATGGTTCCAGACCCAGCTCTGGCCCCAGCTGCCACAGTCCCATCTCAAGTTTCCTCTCGAGTCCCCTCTCCAGTTTCCTCTCAAGTTCCTTCTCAAGTCCCCTCTCCAGTTTCCTCTCAAGTTCCTTCTCGAGTCCCCTCTCGAGTCACCTCTCGAGTTCCATCTCTAGTCCCTTCTCGAGTCACCTCTCGAGTTCCATCTCTAGTCCCTTCTCGAGTCACATCTCGAGTTCCATCTCTAGTCCCTTCTCAAGTCCCTCCTCTAGTCACTTCTCTAGTCCCCTCTCTGGTCCCTTCCCGAGTCCCTCCTCTAGTCCCTCCTCTAGTCCCATCTCTAGTCCCTACTCAAGTCCCTCCTCTAGTCAATTCCCTAGTCCCATCTCTAGTCCCTCCTCTAGTCACTTCTCGAGTCCCCTCTCCAGTCCCCTCTCCAGTCCCCTCTCGAGTTCCCTCCTCTAGTCCCTCCTTTGTCCCTCCTCTAGTCCCTCCTTTAGTCCCTGCTCTAGTCTCTCCTTTAGTCCCTCCTCTAGTCCCCTCTCTAGTTCCCCTCTCGAGTCCCCTCTCGAGTTCCCTTCTCTAGTCCCTCCTCTAGTCCCTCCTCTAGTCCCTCCTCTAGTCTCTCCTCTAGTCCCCTCTCGAGTCCCCTCTCTAGTTCCCCTCTCGAGTCCCCTCTCGAGTTCCCCCTTGGTTCCCCTCTCGAGTCTCCTCTCGAGTCTCCTCTCGAGTCCCCTCTCGAGTCACGTCTCAAGTCCCTACCCAATGTCCTGTGCCGATGGAGGTTCCGCTGGGGGTCCTGCCGACTCCATGTACTGTCCCGTTGGAGGCCCCGTCGACTACTCCTCTGCCGGGGGTCCTACCAATCGTATGTCTGTCCCGTTGGAGGTCCCGCCGTCTACTCTCCTGCCGGGGGTCCTGCCAGCTCCTTGTCCTGTCTCGTTGGAGGTCCCGCCGACTACTCTCTTGCCGGGGGTCCTGCCAACCCTTTGTCCTGTCTCGTTGGAGGTCCCGCCATCTACTCTCCTGCCGGGGGTCCTGCCAACCCTTTGTCCTGTCTCGTTGGAGGTCCCGCCGACTACTCTCCTGCCGGGGGTCCTGCCAACCCTTTGTCCTGTGCCGTTGGAGTCCCCGCCGACTACTCTCCTGCTGGGGGTCCTACCAACCCTTTGTCCTGTCTCGTTGAAGGTCCCGCCGTCTACTCTCCTGCCAGGGGTCCTGCCAATCCTATGTCCTGTGCCGTTGGAGGCCCCGCCGACTACTCTCCTGTCGGGGGTCCTGCCAATCCTATGTCCTGTCCCGTTGGAGGTCCCGCCGACTGCTCTCCTGCCGGGGGTCCTGCCAATCCTGTGTCCTGGTCCTCTTCCGTGGGGGATCCTGCAGAGGCCTGTCCCACCAGCTCCGACACCGGGTCCTGCCCGGCCTCCGCCGCTGTCCCGTCAGCGCCTTCCTGCCTGGCCTCCGGAGCTGTCTGGTCTTCGCCCTCGAGCCCGGCCCTCTGAAAGCCGCAGTCTTCACCCTCGATCCCGGCCCCCTGAGAGCCACGGCCTTCGCCCTCGAGCCCGGCCCCCTGACTTTCCCGGCCGCGGTCCTCGCCCTCATGCTCGGCCCCCTGAGTTCGCCCGCGGTGGCCTTCGCCCCTCCATAACCCCCACCTTGGACTTCTGCTCCTCCAGAACCACTATTTCAAGGATGCTACGTCCTCGAGTGCCGCCGAAGGAATGTTCCAATGTCCAGGATCCTTGGAATTCTACCGAGGCCGGCGTCCTTCGTTGCGGGAAATTTCGAGGCTGCACATGTTTATCCTCCGCGGTCTTAAAATCTCCACAATGCTTTGCGCACGGACCAATTTCCAAAATCTTCGGAGGAAAATGCAAGGCGGGGCCTCTCATATGACTTACACCTGCACACCTGTTGGCCTGTTCCGACCATTCTTCATTTTCCGAGGTTGGGAAGGATTCTTGCCTCGCTTCTGAAGGACCTGACTCGGAAGACATGTCCTACCAAGGAAGCGTCCTCGATATTGAGAAACACCCTCTGTCTCGAGCATGGTCTCGAGCCAGTTAACTTCTAGAGTACCCTGGAACCGAGGGAAACTCTGAAAGAATACGCCCATTGGCTACAAATCAATATATGATTGGTTGATCAAACTGTCAATCCAAACGTACGCTCTCATTCAGTGCAACGGCCAGGGCATTCTATCAAGGATATAGAATACCTTGGTTGAAGGATATTCTAAGACCCAGAAAAATATCTTTTTTTTTCAAACACAAAACAACTCAAATGCGTAGTGCATGGACCGAGAAAGACAAACAAATCAACGTAACACTGTAATATTACAAATCAACAACACAGATACGATTCTCATTTATTCATTTTATTTACATTTTATAAAATTGTATTTATGTAATTAAATCGATTTTTTGTTTGTTTTATCTGAGTGTTCCAGGGTATTCTCTGAATACCTTGAAGGGTTCACCACTGATTGATATGGATATGTTTTCCTAGTGTCCTCAGACTCCTCACACATTGAAGGCTTTCGATGCTAGCTAACCAGAGCAGAAGCACACTCTTACAAAAACAAGGAGCATTTACAATAGCTAGACTAGAGATTAGAGTAACTCTCCTAACTGATTCATGTGAGGGATTTTGCTGTCTTTCAATGGTTTAAAAAAGATTATAAAAAAGATTATAAAAAAAGGCCACAATGGCTTTGCAACAAGGTTTCTTCCAGAAGGATTCATCCACACCTGCACATGAAGTTACTAATGTGCAGATTAAACTTCACCTGCTGCCGTCAGTAGCTGATGTGATTGGCTCCATAGTACGGTGGCCCAGAGAGCCCAACTACTGCAGCAATTAAACACAAACAAAAAGCTTATGATAAAAAAACTATTTTACAACGCATTTTGTCACATTGAAAAAACACAACAAAACACAGCTAATGCTTGTAGTTGGCAATATTTTAAATGTAAGGTTATGAATGTAGCATAATCTCTGTTATATGTTATTACTGCATTTATTAGCTTTTTCTTATGGATCTGTCTAAAATGCTGATTATGTCCTGTCATTCTCTCTAGGTCGTCCTCAGACGAGCCCTCCATCGTTGCTTCCAGTCATCCCGGTTCTCCATACATCTGGCCAGTTCATTGGTACTTTATGCTCCTGCGTCATTCTTGAGTACGTCCACGTATGTTTGTGCGGGACGTCCTCGTGACCGATGCCCGTGTGTTGGTTCCCACAGCACCAATTTGCCGGCTAGCAGCTCTTGATGCCTTTGGCAATGTCCTGCTAGTCTCATTCTCCTGGCTGCAATTTTCTCGCTCACCCTTGGTATTCCCTCGTACAGGATCTTGTTGGTTACATGTACACTCTTGCTGATATTAAGTACTGCTCGCAACATTCTGGTGTAGCATGAAAGATACGTCCGTCATTACTTTTTCGCTTTCCAACTCTGCTAAGCACATTTTACCTCTTTCATAAAAAGGGCTGAATGAAAAAAAACCTTTGTTATTTAATATCTTTTTTTATGTTAACCAGCTGATACAACATTCATACAAAACCAATGAGGGTCTAGGAGCTTCAACATTTTGTTTTGTCCAGAATTAATTTACTTCAGTGAAGTTTCATTCATTCCAGAAGGCTTTGCAGACATGGTGGAAGCGCAGAGAGAGATTATTTACAGACTACATCCTTTTAAAAGAAGTGTGACCTCATTTTGATTTACGCAATAAGGGAATACCTTCAACCAAATATGGTTTCTATGGTTTCTGGTTCCTGTGGTTTGGTTCTTTACATCATAATGGAGTCGTACAAAATGAGCCATTTAGTCAGACGGACAAGGTTGAATATTCATCTGGCTTTCTTCTTTTTTTTGTGATACTGTACGTTGCAATGTAAAATTGTGTGAAGTAAATTAAAATGACTCTTCTTGCCAGGATAATTTCTTCTTTTTAAAGGTAAAGCGTACAGAATGAATGCAAAACACATTGTTAACAATACTGATCCTTTTATAATGAACATTTTAATACAAATAATAATATACACAATAATCAATGTATTTCACTTACATTTTTTTTCAAATCTTCATAAATATATCTGAAAAAGCACAAGCGACAAACGACTGTGATTGTACTGCACTCTCCCTGATCTTCTGCTGGGCAATTAAAGGTAATTAAGATGTAATATGAAAAACAAGAATACTGTAAAAACACAAAATATTAGTGGCAGTTAAATGACAGAATGTAGACATTTCAAACTCGTAAAATCTTGCACTTTTCACGACACACATCCTCTACTACACTCAGGTAAAGCTGGTTAGTTCAGAGGCTGGGCAATAACTTCATAATCAGATGACACGTCTGTTTTCTTGATTGACATGTAAGTTCTGTCTTCTTGGTTTGGTTTCACCTTTTTTCTTGTGTGCCTTTGGAGAGAAGAGTGAGACATGAGGTGTTGTCTAAAACTGCATTGACAGAGCCTTGAAAGCAGTAAATGTTGATATACTGTAGTTACATACCAAAGGAACATAATGAGGATTATGCTGATGACATTTACAAAAAGAGATACAGCAGCAACGACAACCCAGGGAAGCTGTGCACTTGGTTCATGTTGATTTGCTAGTAGAAATGACAGAGAGTGACACAAGTTATATGAATACTGTAAAGTCAGTAGCTACTAACACATCATGTTATGGATTTGTACCTGTAGGTGACCAATACCAACAAATACACAGATGGAGTTATCAAATATATTTCTTAAAAGACGAACAGAGACTATGTTTTTGCTGGTTATCAGTCATTGGTTATGAATGTGTTTACCTTCTCGCTTCTGTGAAGTTATAACAGGGATGGTGTGTTGAACTTCCCCAACTTTGCTGCGTCCGACACACTCAACAACAGTGTTGTTGTGGTCCTTTACAGTTAGGGTGCTGTGGATAGTTTGGTGTGACACAGTGGTGATGACGGAGTACTCAGAGTGGTTATTCAACAGCGGCCATATGATGTAGGGTAAAGGAATCCCCTTACTGATGCATACGCAGGTCAGGACCCCCGACTGAACCTCACACTTTGAGCTATTTAGGATCTTTGGATAGACTGTTGACACAGAGTCATAGCAGTTTGAGTCAGCTGCACCATTTGAGTAACCACACAATATCCTGCTCACCCTTTCATTAACTTCAATTCATAAATGACATTGGTGCTTACATGTGTTCCTATATTTAAATAATTGTACTAATGAAATAAGTGGAAAACTAGATTGTGACTTTAATTAGTGGAAGTTATTTGAATTGGTTAATAAATGTCATAGGAATAGGAGCAATTGAATAAATGTGCGTTCCACATGTCATATAGCCTTTAAATAATCTTCTGATCCTCATCAGGAACAAGGTATTTGGCCAAAAACAGATCTTTCCCAAAATGTACATCTGAAAGCTGCAAAACTTCACACATTTCTCAGAAGATCAGCAGTAGCTTTGATAACTTCTTTCCTTTTTAAGAAAATGTGACGCATTTAAGTGTAGTATGTACAATACTCACAGGTCACATTAAGAGTCACAGTCTTCTCTGCAGTGATGTTGTTTCTGAAGCTGACCTCACAGGTAACATTGCTGCTGTGGTGTTCAGCTGAAGGGTTAAAGGTCAAAGTGGAGCTGTGACTCTGTGTGACAGCAGTCAGATTCTCAGTCTTTAAAGCAGTGATGTTTCCTGTGATCTGAGAGTCCTTCTCTCCTGCTCCTCTCCATGTCCAGGTGAATTTAGGATCAGATCCAGAACAGAGACCAGGAGCAGTGCAGGTCAGTGTGGTCGGCTGCCCCTCTGTCAGAGGAGGAATCATCACTGAGGGCTTCTGGGTCAGACCTAAAGACAGAGCAGTCTGTTAGTGAAATCTGTTCAACAGCCTGAAGGTCATCATTCACCTACATGTTGGCAAAATATAAAATATAAATACTCTTTCTTAACATTTACAAAGCAATGTGTAAGAGGTAAATCAGGAACTACTACAGTTCCTACTGGTTGCCCACAGATGTCGACAAAAGCTTAACATTACTTCATCTCCTATTAAGACTAAAAATAAAACAAATGTTTGTGCAAAACAAAAATGAACATTTTGACTGTTAATATTTGTTGTAGCTCTCCATACCTTTTACAGAGAGAACTGCTCTTTCAGAGTATGTAAGTCCATCAGGGTTCTCATACAGTAAACCATTAACTCTGAGCTGATATGCTCCAGAGTCTGACTCGGTGAGGTCGTTGATGATGATGCTGCAGTTCCCCTGACTCAGCACCGGCTGCAACAGTGAAAGCCGTCCTTTGAACACAGACTGAACCTTGGTGTTGTGCTTGTTGGTGTGGAATATCATGTCAGGATCGCCACATTTTCGATTGGACAGTTTACATTTGTACCAAACTATATGTTGGGTTTTAAAGGCTGCAGCAGTAGAGAAAGAACACGGTATCACAACACAGAGTCCAGCCTCTGCTGTTATATCTGCTTCACCAAGAGTGATACAGAAATATCCTTGACAGTATGGTCTTCCCCAAACCGATGCACCTGTTGATACAAACAGTGACAAAACAGGGATATAGGTTATTTTAATTTCGACAACATATCATTAAATCAAATACATTCTGATTAAATAAATGATAAAGAAAGGCTGCTATATGACTTTTTTAGTTTCATAGGCTATAACAAAAAGGCCAACTACATGACTATCTGAAGTTAGTTAACCAATGCTGCAACGACTTGTTACTTATGAGCTGGTGGAAAAACAAAACACTTGTAATTTGGAAGCATGTCAGGAAAACAATAAAACAAAGGACACTTATCATGACATATATTAGCATTATATTTTTTCAAATATTTCCTTTTGGCATAACAACATGATATGCAAATGCATACAGTACCTGTTTCTGCATGGATGCCCCTCACAGAGAAAAGCAGCGTTGCACAGATTAGAACAAACATCCTGATTTGATACTTGAGACCAGGCCGGGACTGGCCATCGGGAGGACCGGGAGGTTTCCCGATGGCCTGGCCTGTTAAGTGGCCTGCTGGCCTGAGGAATTTTTTGTATGTATTGTGAACGCAACGCTGCGCAAATGTGGGTCTGACTTTGCCTCACAGAGGGTGACTGGCTGTCTACATGATGTGGCCTGCCGACATGGCCACTTTCATACAGATCATACACTAATGCCCTCGATTGGTCTCGTGTCATTCAAGCTCGGGAGGGTGTGTATGTGTGGCGCGAGCAAGCGAGAGAGAAAGCGCGTGCACTGGTTACGTGTATTGTTATTGTTAGCATCCGGTGCTAGCTAGCGGCGCTAACGGAATGAGCTGTCAACAAGGTGGAGGAGAGTCCTCTCCTGTCAGACTGAGAGACTGATAACTACAGCTCAGGTGAGGTAAAGGACTTTAGAGTGTTTAGATAGTTAACTTAGTCTAAGTTCACTGTGGGTCTCAAACGGTTTGGTCACCATTTATGTAAACACATATTAACATTTGAAGGGGGAGTGATTAGTAAAATACGCATGAATAATACAACAACAAAAAGTTAACTAGGTGAAAAAAGGTAGGATAAACTTTAAAAACTTGTTGAGAGCTAAAACTAGTCTTTGCTGCTGCCTCAAAGAGGAGCAGGGGGAGAGGAGGGAGACAGGTGAGGCTGGTTCAGGAGCCCAGACACACTATGCCATGCTAACTATAAATGAACCAAAAACAAATAAATAAACAAGTTTCAATGTTTTTTCATATTGGATATGGTATGTTATTGGCTATGGCCATGTTCTTATGATTTTATGATTATTTAAATGTATACAGAACTGTTTCATATGGGTGTAGTCTCTTTATTTCCCCCTCAAAGTGCACCAGATTGATGCATTTAAGTCCAACATTTAAAAAAAAAAAATCTTCCGCGGGGAGCATGCCCCCCGACCCCCCTAGAGGATTTGAGGTCCACCTCCACTTAAAATATGTTCACAATTCACATGGATAGGTTCCTAAATAGATTTGCACTTTTAAAAAAAGATAGTAACCCATGTCCATATGTTTATTCTGGGGTAGTTTTAAAGTTTATGGCTATCACTACGGGCAGCAACGCTGTACATATTGACAAATAAATCCAGGAAAATTACACAAAAGAAAACTGGTAGTGGCCTGGTTGGATGTATAATTCCCGGCCTGACTTATTGTCCCAGTCCGGCCCTGCTTGAGACAGTCAGTCTTCACAGGACAAACTTGACACTGAAAGTGCAGCAAACATAGAGGAAGTGAACCAACGGGAAGCTCCACCTCTGACACATATCTTAATACAGGACATTGCACATTAAGATAATCTGTAGCTACAACACACTCTTTAACACCCAGGGGTGTGACTTCCCTGATATGTGACACTTGTTCTCAAAATATATTATAAACTGTAACTAAACATGTTTCCAGTTAGCTTTAACAAATAAAACGTTGCTCCCCCCTAACGAATTTACTGAAATAACTCTGACAAATTACTATTACTATTATCCTAAGCACTCTTTTCCCAAACTGAGTTCACCCTCACTTAACCACATACAAAAGTGTTTTTGTTATAGCTAGGAAATAACTTTATGTATAGATGTACAATGTATAGATCAAAAGGCTATTTTAAACACAGAAAGCGACTCGCCTAGACTACTGCAACTCCCTCCTGGCTGGTCTACCTGCATGTGCCATCCGACCTCTGCAGCTCACCCAGAATGCAGCGGCTCGTCTGGTCTTCAACCTTCCTAAATTTTCACACACCACTCCGCTCCTCCGCTCCCTTCACTGGCTTCCGGTAACTGCTAGAATCCACTTCAAGACACTGGTACTTGCTTACCATGCTGCGAATGGATCTGGCCCTTCGTACATCCAGGACATGGTTAAACCGTACACCCCAGCGCGTACACTACGCTCTGCATCAGCCAAACGACTCGCTGCACCCTCGCTGCGAGGGGGACCCAAGTTCCCATCGGCGAAAACACGTGGGTTTGCTATCCTGGCTCCAAGATGGTGGAATGAGCTCCCCATTGAAATCAGGACAGCAGATAGCTTACACATCTTCCGGCGCAAACTGAAAACTCATCTCTTACGACTCCACTTCCAGCGATAGAATTACTAACAAAGCACTTATATACTAATAAAGGACTGGCTTACCTAAAGCCAGTTGAGTAGCACTTGAAATGTTTGGCTCTATGAAACCTGATGTACTTATATGATTCTGTTTTCTTCAAGGTTGTGTCTTCCTGGTCGAATGCACTTATTGTAAGTCGCTTTGGATAAAAGCGTCAGCTAAATGCAATGTAATGTAAAAACATAAATATAGATGTTGTGTTACCTGTTAAGGCCCTGTCACACTGTCCCGAAATTGACACCCGATGGACACACGAATATGGAATTGTGAATTTCGCACGATGATGGCCCCGAACCACACACGAAGGCAACATTTACATTACATTTAAGACATACAACTGCAATGAAAGTACCAAAAACAATTGTGTTACAGTACTATGATACTGTACTGATATCTTCAGACTTTGTTCTTTACTTTATCCGTCGTTATATGTAGAAAATATTACGTTTTCTCCGTAATGTTGTTTCCATAACAACAACAACTTCCTGTCAACTGTCCTTCAAAATAATATATTATATCCTTTTAGTTTCACAGAACACAAATTGGGTTATTTACATAATATATTTACATGATTTTGTTGTGCAATAAAACAACCCGAATTTGAACATTTCCGGTGTGTCAATTTCGGGACAGTGTGTGACAGGGCCTTGGCCTGTCACACTGTCCCGAAATTTGACACCCGATGGACACACGATAAAGGAAATGTTCAAATTCGGCTGTGATCGTAGCAACATCGGGCCATTCGTGAGGGCATCTTAAGCCATCGTATGACCGCCGGTGGAGTTTCTCAGGCTCCGGCAGCAACTTAGTGAGCGGCAACTTCGTGAGGCACTCGTGAGGACATCTTGTCAAATCGTGTCATCTTCGTGTTATCATCGATGCCATCGGGCATTCGCCCTCACTCTGATCGGGGCGAATGCCCGATGGCACCGATGATAACACGATGCCCTCACGAAGGGCACAATTGACACACGAATTCAACACGAAAATGAACCTTCGCAAGGTCCTTCGGTAATTTTTTGGCATGCCAAAGATTTTGCCACCGCTCACGAAGTTGCTGCCGGAGCCTGAGAAACTCCACCGGCGGTCATACGATGGCTTAAGATGCCCTCACGAATGGCCCGATGTTGCTACGATCACAGCCGTATTTGAACATTTCCTTTATCGTGTGTCCATCGGGTTGTTTTATTGCACAACAAAATCATGTAAATATATTATGTAAATAACCCAATTTGTGTTCTGTGAAACTAAAAAGGATATAATATATTATTTTGAAGGACAGTTGACAGGAAGTTGTTGTTGTTATGGAAACAACATTACGGAGAAAACGTAATATTTTCTACATATAACGACGGATAAAGAACAAAGTCTGAAGATATCAGTACAGTATCATAGTACTGTAACACAATTGTTTTTGGTACTTTCATTGCAGTTGTATGTCTTAAATGTAATGTAAATGTTGCCTTCGTGTGTGGTTCGGGGCCATCATCGTGCGAAATTCACAATTTCATATTCGTGTGTCCATCGGGAGTCAATTTCGGGACAGTGTGACAGGGCCTTTACCTGTAACCATGGTGCTCATTCTCAAAAAACAGAACAAAAAAGACAGCATGAGAAACGGACAACTGTCTCCAGTTGTTGTTTTTATTTTGTTTATGTTTGGGTAGAACTGAAGACATATGGATTTGCTTGAGGCGTGAAGTATATGTTTAAAATAAAAGAGCAAACAAACTACATCACTGCAGAAATCCTACTGTTAATAAGAAACAGTTCAAAACTCTGACCTGAATTATTATTATCATATTTGTAGAAGAAAAAAAATCCCAATCATGACAATTATGATCACCACAAAGTATAGGGTATACAAATCTGCTATACAACACACCGTGACAAAATATTAGGTAAGACACATTTCATATTTTTACTTTTTCAGATAAATAAAACGAAAAAAAACTCTGTAAAACTTTCAACAAGATATACTGGTTATTGTCTTTGTAGCTACAGGCAATATATGAATACTAGCCAGCATATCCATCCTTGAGTCGACAGAACAGTGTCTTAATAAAGGCTAATGTGAGTCAGAATGGGTGGTCGACAAAAGCTTTGTTTACATGCACAGAGAACTGCATTTATTTTTAACATTTTGGAGTTTTTAATCAAATGAAACACAACTTTAGCTGATTTGTGTGCACCATGTTCCGTTTCATTACCAATATGACTTGATGCAGGATACGACCAAGGAATTCATTTCAAAATATTATTACAGCAGTTACTATTATGAGAGTAATACAATAGTGGTGGATATGTCGCACAGCATTATGGGCATGATATCACACAACATATTCTATTCATTTGTTCTAATATGTGTTTTCCCTGTGCCATTGAGGGACTGAGGATTCATCACTATGGTGTATTCAAACTTTTTGCAGCAGGATATTTATGTGTGAACAGCTCAAACCTAAAGTACTCCTGGTAGTGTGATTTAGTTTTTATATTGCCACTGCTGCTTATGAACAGTCTATTCTGCAGTTACCACAGTGAGAGGCCTTAGCTGTATTTTGATTGTAAAACCAATTAGAAACAGCTCACAGAGACACGCTGCTGCCTTGATGAACTAAATCCATCATTACAAATGAGTGCGGCGATGTTTCATAACATACATTTATAAAGCCTTAGGCAGAGCATGAGAATCAAAAGTACTTTCAATCTTCAAGAAGAGATCATTGCACATCTCTAGCTAGATTTTACGTTCCCCTCCAATCAACATCAGTACAAACAGTGTAATGTATTTTAAGGAGGAACACAATCAGGGGACAGGTTCCATACTGTAGCAGATGATTTTGGAAATTAAAACTATGGTCATTACTTTCGGTATTTTACAATTTTCTTGCAGAGAAACCGTAAATGTTTACATGACTGATTCAGTTTATCTAATTGTATATCTTGACACACATTTTTAAAGCATACACCGTACAATACACTGTAGGTGTTCATTTCATTTTCACTAATAGTTTTAGGTGACCAAGTTAGAGTATAATTTGTGTTGAGTAATTTTTTTGCACTTTTGTGAGAAACAGACAAAGTGAAGACGAGGAAAAGGACTTCATTCTCTTTATACATTGAAGGGGAACTACACCGACTATCGGATTCACAAGAAATGTATTTATATCATCGGCAGTGCAACTCAGCCTGTGAAAAATGTAATGTCATCAGGTGATGCTGAACTGATAAACTTTTGAGAAGTCTGAAAAAAACGGTGTTACAAACTAGACGTATGGAGTTTGAAAGACATTTAGCAGGCAGGATGGATCTAAATAAAACATGTTGGTGCATTGTGGGTAATGTAGGATGCATTTGGTTTGGAACTTGACCCAATCCTATGAAATACTATTCTATGAAATACAAAGCTATATCGGCCTCTGCTGCTTTAATTTGATTGATCTGGAGTTTCCTTTTAAGGTTTAAAGAAACAATTTATTAAATACAGCCGCTATTATACTTTAAATTGATCCTCAATCCCCGTCAATAACAAGGTCACTTCCTGCATGTAAACGCAACCTCTGATTTGACTATAGTGCACACTAGTTAGAGCTTGATAGTATTTATTAAGACAATGTTCAGTCAAAAGCATGTGAATGATGTGTGATAGGAGTATTTTTACTTTTCAAACTGGCTTTTATCCATCATTTAATAACTTAATGCCTGCAAGAAGGACAGTCATGCAGGGTATTTACTGTACATACTGGCTTCCATTTTCTAGCTATACATCTTATTAATATATATTATTGATACCATCATTATAAAGTTAGACTATTAGTAGGCTTTGATATTACATCACAGGTTCATCAAATGCCTTTGAATAGCATAAACAGCTGGCAAATCATCTGTGTCATTCAAACATTTGATGCAACCTTGTGAGAATAGAGCATCAACTTCTCAAGTGAAGCAATGCTAAAAACCTCCCAAAGACCCCAGTCATCAATGATCAGTGTCCTATGAGCTTTGAGCACGATTTGAACACACACACGCATACCCACACACATTGTCTAAAAGAGATAACACTTTGGCCGCTTGCGCTCAAATATTTTGTGCTTTAGGGAGAACAAGTTGCAGACGACAA